AAGAATTTCTTAAATTTAATTTTTTAGTCTCTACTTTGCTTTATTTCGCTTACATTTTTCTTATTTCATTTGTTTATCGTTTTATTTATTTGTTTCTCTCAGGGCCATCAAGAAGTGTGGCAGTAGGGATGGGCTTCACACCACAGACAAGGGCTGTTGGAGCCTTTATGTTTCTCAGGTTGCTCCTTCACCTCTCCTGATGGCCCTCCCATCCTTCCCAAAAGATGAATCTAGAAAAATCTCCCCTGAACAGCTTGGGAACTCTATCAGGAAACACTTTCCTGAGGAATAATTATTCCCTATGTGCAGGTGGTACCCACAGAATTACTTGAGGATGCTGTTCAGTGGCTTTTCACACCATTCAGTCCTCATATAAGAAATTCCATAGTTAAAAATTCATACTCTTTGGAACATGAAATGATTGAATTTGGAACAAGCTATGCCAACAGCACGCTTACTTATAGGAGACGAAGGCAGGCAGGAGGAGGTCATGCTTAGTGAGCTACACAGGTGCCATACCTCTCAGTTGTCATCACCAGAGAGGACAAGGTAGAGGGAAATGGTCAGGCTCCTGGCACTGCTTGTCCCAGTGTTCTTATTTACTGTCTTTAATTTGACCCATCCTGCTTCACGGCAGAATCACAGGAGAAATCTCTTACGACGAAGAATGGCAACTGAAATACGGAGAGTCCAGGAGAGGCTGGCTGAGTAGGAAGATTCCAGATAAAGATTTCAAGATGGGGTATTCTTTTCCCTTTATTGCCTCTCCTTCATTATGCCAGGACCCTTGCTGGGCAGTCCAGGCTCTCTGAGAGTTCTTGAACCTAAGTAGAAGGGCAGGCGCTTCTCCTTTTGGCTGGTAGGCTCTGGTCCTGGCAGCGCAGAGGAATGACTCTGACTGGTTTTCATCTGGGCGTCATCAGTTTTTCTCAAGGGAGAAGAGTTCCTTCTTGGGAAGACTTCAGTGCCTAAAGGATAATTCTGTCACCTTTCAGGACTTCATAGGCCCTATTCTTGGTTTCATTCATCTTTTTTTAACCAGATCACCTGTACAGTTTCCTTATAGAATTTAGTTAAGTAGGAGCTCTTATTAGTTCTATGATTGAATTTTCTTTATTACATGTCAGCCTCACAAAGCACAGCTCCTCTAGAAGCTCCTCATCTACATTTTTGTCTACTAAGGCCACTGACTGGATCCTAAAGTGAAAATTATCAACATTAGCTGGCCTGCCATGCTTTCTAACTTCAGCAATTATTAACTCATAGCCAATTTGTTTCATCTGCACGATCTACTTCCCTCCCACCAAATTATTTGAACCAAATCCCAGAGATAATATCATTTCATCTGATGCCCCATGTTTCAATTTTGTAGGGAATGGTTTTGAAATATGAGCATGTGCCTGAACAGAATGCCCACTCTTTGTCAGGTGGGCCACAGACTTTTCTCCCAAAGCAGTAACAAATGAACCATTAAAATTCCAACATGGTCAAGAATGATTTTAGCACAGAAAATTTCTGTGGTTTGGATAGATTGGATTGGCACAGAA